TTTTTAAGTGGGAGAACTTGCACAATTGGTGGCTGACTAAATACTTTTTTGCCCCACTGTAGTTAATAGTCAGGATATGCCAATGTGCCTATAAAAAGCTGTATTATTTAAATGGAGATTAAAAATAATGCCAGTAAGTAGTTCTCAAACTCTGTAATACCATGAACCACTCCATTTCAAATAGGGCAAATAAATAAGATTCAAATAGGATTTTTTTCATTGCCTTGATAAATATAAATTCAGGAATCTGCTCTAAATAAGATACTTTAAAGTTAAATTGAAATGTGTGAGTCATGCAATCATTTTAGAAAATCTTCCATATAGGGAAACTCCTTTGAACTGGAAGGATATCTGGTTAATAAAATATTGGAAATTTTGGTTTTGGTTGCTTTACTCAGAAAAGTGAAGACATAAGTAGGAATAACTTCATATCCCTCTTGAATTTGCATAGTGGGAGTAGAGTGTTTAGAGAGGGTTTTTGTGCTTCCTTATTTAAAAAATGGGGAGTTAACATTACTCATTCATGATGTGTATGAAGATGCCTTTTGGTTTCAGGCAGTAGACAAATTTCATAATTGATCGATCAAACATTTTTCCAATTAAGAGGCATCAGCTACAATCCTAAACTCGCTGGTCACGTTTCTGCTTAGAGTGGGTCAGCGGATTAGATTTTGTGCCCAGAGCCCCGCTAGTCTAAATAGGCAAACATTTGGGAGGAATTTTCTTCCATAAACCAGTTCTGTGCATTACATTCTACTAAACAGAAGTTGAATTCTTCATTTTGCGCTCTGCCTGGACAAGCTGACTATCTAGACAACATGGCGCACAATCCTGTCAGGGCTGTGACTTGACTTGCACGTGCAAAACCCATTCTTGTCAGTCATGCTCCAGGCTTTCTCTCCCACTCTGCCTGGACAAGGAGTAAAAATGCGAGGAGGGATATTACCTAGCCAGTGTCTGAGAACCAATGGTTAAATTGTTGCACACTTTACAGCCAAGGCAGGAATCCACATTTTTACTTCTTGTCCCAGCAAGATAGGATTCCAGATTAAAAAACTGGCCCAAATGGGCTTGATTTCCCCTGAAACAAGCCTTTTTCCAGATTGTACCTCCAGTGCTACCCCATCCTGCAATCTCACACTCCGTGTTCTCAGGCACAATGTAACGCTCGGGTGGAAGGCAGATCAGTGCCACACGCTGGTTCAGAACGGCAGGCCTGTGGTGAGAAAGAGTGGGCATAAAGCAACAAATTCACATCTCTGTTCTGTACACAGAAGCCACTTCAAAGGGCTGACCACATTCCGAGGACACCCAGGTCGGCTGGATGACTGCTGATGCATCACACCTACGGCTGATCTTTCTGCCATGAGTGGCAACAGCTGTTTATGTGGCAATCAGCAAAGACTTGAGTAGAACAGCTGTTTCCAAGGAGTCATCACAAGCTTAGAGATTGTGTGAATCTACCTTGAGCAAGCCTCTCAAGTCTCTATTCCAGTAAATTCCTTCTTCTGGTGAACCAAATTCACAGAAGCTTGTTTTCTTGTAAAAGCTGCTAATTGATTACTCAATAACTCTATGTATCTGTTTATTTAGCTGCCTCAATCACCAAAGCAACTCTCAGCAGAAAAAGAAAAATACCCCATGCAGGGGAACACCTCTTGCATGAAAGTGGCTGGCCTTGCTTTGCTCAAAAGTTTGGTTCTGAAAAGGTTATGTACTGTACATCCTTTCTTCTCAGGTTAATTTTTCCCCAATATTTCAATACCATCCAAAGGCAGCCTGCAAAATGTGTTAGGCTTTGTCAGATGACTGGCAGGAACCGAGAACAAAGGCAATGTGTCCAGACAGAGATGGGCAATGGGGCATCAAATTTTAGGCCAATACAGCTTTCTATCAGTTCAAGGAAGGGTAGGGAGCAGTGTAACCCACTGTGGATAAATACCTACAGATGGATGTTAAGTCAGAATCACTGCCAAGATGGATGTGGTTTTCCTGCCCAGCTTCAAGTTTATGCTCTGCTTTGCTCTGCCACTCATAGCACAGCACTGGGATATATTGTCTAAAGGCGTGATGATGTATCTGTCCATGGAAGTTTTTAAGGTATGAGATCAGCCTTGTGTAGGATTCAGGATTCAGTTCCTGAAGCAGGAGTATATCCAACAATTAACGGTGGGGGCAAGAATACATAGCATTTCTACGCAATTCCTGTTTCTGGCAAGGGGGTATCTTTATTGATGGCAACAAAGTCTCTTCTGTTAGGTTTCCGTTATTCTATTGATAGAGGAGATGTGGAGAGAACAGCATACCTGATGGAGAGTCACCAAACCTAGTAATTCTAGTTTAATTTTCCTGGAATTGACTGGGGAAGAGAAATCTGAAACATTACCCTGTAAAGTCCAAGGAAGGGAGCTGCCTATCAGCAAAAAAGAAACATCTTCAAATAATAAAATTGCTGCCAAATTTAGTCTTGGCCCTGGATAACCCATCCTACTCACCAGACATTCCTATCCTATCACATCTCTCAATTTTTTGTCTGTGAGCTTTCTCCTGCAGCATGCCACCATCTTCAGCAGCTGCTACCCAGCAAGCCATATACAGCTAGGGATGAAGGGTGAACACACCGGGAGATTTGGAACTTCTGTCATCCAGCCCTACTGCACCCATTATATGCTAACCGTGTGAATTTTTAAAAATGTTCCCTTCCCTCGCCTTGTTTCAAAGGATCCACTTTGATTTTCCACCTCAGTGAGATTTCTCCACAACAAAGTATGTATCTTGCAAATCCCAAAATATAACAGTGCAGAAGAGTGTTAGGAGTCCCTACTGAGGAAGCCTTGTTTTCCACATCCTAGGATATAAACTGGAAACATTCTTTTCATGCTATGGGAGACACAGAATATCTTAAAGGCCACTCACCTCTCCAGTTTCAGCATCACCACAACTGACTCAGAGGGGCCACAGACAATCTTAGTTATAGGGATGGCCTGTTTGTTTGGGTCATTAGGACCAGGGTTCTTAAAGAGTGTTCCAAGCCAGACATGGTAACCAGTTAAGTCAGCATCACTGCCAAGAGGAATAAATAATTGTTACAAGATCACAGAAGCCTCTCCTTCAACAGCAGCTTCCTGAGTAGGAAAAGTAAGTGGGGTTTGAGTCATTTCCTCCCCTCATTACACTTTTCTGCAGCTATAGACTCCCTTGAGTTAAACTCACCTTCTGCTGACTATGGTCACATTTATGTAGTCAGAGTAAAAATACAGAAGTGATTTGTCGCTGCCTTCTTCCAGGTATTTTTTGGCTTTCCAGTCTAGTCCATCACCCTGGGATTTCCTGATAGTCTCCCATCCAATTATTAACAAAGTCTAATCTGCTTAGCATTTCCTGAGTTCAGCCAAGGTCAACTGGCTACTGCCCCTGTTCTATTGGCTGCCCCTGCCTTGACGTTGATGACTAAGGCTGCGCACCCTTTGGACCTCACCAAAGTGCCAGCCTCTCTGCAAATGTTTCAGGCTTCCTCGTGAGCCTGAGAAAAGATGCTGCTGTTTTTAGGAGATGCCTCATTGAAGTAATTCTTAAAGCAGTGGCTTCTCTTTTCAGGTGTGGAAGCCTGGAAAAAGACACATCCCCTTCAACAAACAGGAGAGATGTGCTGCACTTGCTTTTGCAGTCATTTCTGAAGCACGCAGAGCTCTATTAATAGCTCCTTTCACTTGGACAACAGGATCTGAACTACGTTGGGCTTGGCCTAGGGAGACTCAAATTCCAATCCATACTCAGTCATGACATCAAAGGATAATGACCATATGAACACCTCAAGCTCTTCAGAGAAGAGAAGGAAACATATATCACAGACATTTATGACCTAAAAGTATGCATTTTAAAGAGTTTCACATAAACAGCTTACTTAGCCTGATTCAATGGCTCCTCCCCCCAGTGAACTTTGGTTTAAATTAACTGAATGCAAGACTTATGTCACCCACATCTAGAACTAATCACAGAATTAAAACATAGCCATGTTCTCGGGCTGTTTTCTGGCTGGAAGCAAACTTTGTCCTGTTATTTGGTTACCTTGAACTGAGACTACAAAGGGATGATGGGTTGGTTACCTCACTTGAGTATGGGAGGCAACTCAAGCCTTACTTCCTGGTGCAGCCCCTATCCCATGGCCTTCTAGAAGAGGGGCCTTCAACCCCCAGTAACCCCCAATCAGTATTGCCATTCCTGAGAGTTGAGCCCACCCGCCTACCTGACAGCCCCTGTGCTGGAAGAAGATGCTCAGCAGAGCAAGCAAAGAAACCCATTTGCATCCATGGATGCTAAACATCCAACGGCTCATCAAACTAGTTCTGCTCTGGTGTCTGTGAATGACAGCTATTTAATACGTATGCCTACAGATTTATTTAACATTATTTATTATTTTATTTATATCCCACTTTTTGGCATACATCCTCCAAGGCTGCTATCAACTATAGAAAGACAATATGTTTTAAAATCAAAAAGAATTTTTAAAGAAAAAATCAGTTTTCAATAGAATACAAAAAGAACAAAATACACCAGTACTGAAGCCATTAATTCCTTGAACATGCACTTTAGAGATTCTTCCTGACCTCTGAAAATCATCTAGGATTGGATGTTGGACAGAAACAAAACATCAATAACCCTGTAGCTACCATAGACTGGGCCTGTCAAAGTGCTGAATGTAAAACAAAAACGATTTGCGGTCAGCAGCTTCTAGCACAAGTTTCGCCAGAACTCTGTGGGCCTGCTTACCAGGAGGAGAAACACAGCCGTGTGCTGATTACCCACTGCTCTTTTACCAGTGATCCTCCACAGAAATGGACTCCTTCTCTGGAAAGCAAAAAAGTGGCACGTGTCACAAGGGCAAAACAAAAAACACCTGCCTCTTGGTGTGTCCGGGTTGCCTGCAACACCTTACTTTGCCCCAGGGCTCTTAATGTCTGTGCACAGTGGGCCCCTTTCTGCTCTTGGACGAAAAGTAACTTCATTTGGCCTTAGAGCACATGCAAAAAAATCCCCAGCCATATAAGAACATCTAGTCAATTTGCCAGGGAAGCACAAAGAACTTTCCTATTTTACAATCTTTTATGAGCTGCCAACCCAGAAGGCAATGAGTAATGGCAGTGATAACTCAAAGGAGCTGACAGGGCTAAGATCTCCCCTTTTACAGGAACTACTAAGATGATTGTTCTCCCACCACTATTTATTCTGTGCTTTCCTATCTGCAGCCAGTACTTTTTACAACCCCTGGCACCCCACCACCACCCAGATTCTGCTCACCGATTGCGGATGCTGACCGTCCAAGGTGAGTTTCCAGGTCTGCCCCCTACAATCCGAGATCGCACATCTCTTCGTTCATCCCTCCTGCCACACTCGTCAAAAACCACATTCTCTGCAACCGAGGAGTCAAGTCAGGCATATTGCCCTGATGTAACAGTTGGTTTCCTTTTAATGCAACAGACTTCATTTCTAATTTATTCACATAGGCAGCAACCTGGAGCCAAAGGCACAGGGAAACCTTGTGCACCTGTTTCCCTTTCTTACCAAAACTACCTTTCTCACAGAACTGCCACAGATACAATGCATGGCAGAAGACTCACCTGGATTCAGCAAGTTGGACAGCTTCTTGTCTTCAGCTGCAGAAATGAAGCATAACACTGATTGATACATGCAAATCTCCGGGGTGCCAAAGTCTGTGAAGTTTATCATTTATCCACAAAAGCCTTCTACAAAATGCAAGTCACTGTGTGTTTTGTCCTCAGTGAGTGAAAAGCACACCTCTGTAAAGTGAATCTGAGTTGAACTATGTGTGGACTTCTGTTGAGGCCTTTTCTGGTTCAGGATCATTTTAAGAGGGAGAAGTGTCTGACCCACCTTTACATAGCAGATGGTAGAACAAATGTTTTGACAGGGTGTTGAACAAGCATTCATTCATTCGTTGGATTTTTATCCCACCTTTATTTTTATCAGCTCAAGGTGATGTATATACTTAATGCTCCTGACTCCTATTTTCCCCATAGCAACAACCCTTTGAGGTGGGTTGGGCTGAGAGAGAACAACTGGCCCAAAGTCATCCAGCTGGATTTCATACCTAAGGGAGGACTAGAACTCAAGTCTTCTGGTTTCTAGCCCAGCACCTTAGCCACCAAACCAAACCAGCTTTCAGGCATTAGGTATAGCAACCTATTTGGCATTCAGGATCATATGCCATCACTTACTCACGATTGTTTCTGAAGCCAAAAAAGTGAGAAATAAAATCTTCTATATTTATTTTGAATAAAATAAAAACTACTGCCTTAGTAAGTACTTGAAGTGATGGATCTTTCAGAGGTTGTTAGATTAACATTCCCATTTTCCCCACCCACTAGCCGTGCTGTCTGGAGCTAATGGGATTTAGAATCTAGTAACACCAGAGATACCCAATCCTATTGTAAACATAAATACCAACACCTCAATGCTCAAGAGAGAAGTCACATTATAGTATTTTTTATGTCTTCCCAGCCTCCCCTCTTAGAAATGGGAATTGTGGTTGTGCTAGAATGTTTAATTTATGTTCTATGCCTGTGCCATGTGTTACTATGCTACCAACATGCTCAAAAGAGTTATGCTGCAAGTAAACAAACAACTACTGCATCAAAACAGGGAAGGTAAATCAAAGCCCTCACTTCCTTTGGTCACTAAGAGGTCAATGTGGTCATGAAAAATCTTGGCCTCTGGAAGATAACCTAGGCAAGGAGATCATACCTATAGCTGGTTCCCAAGAAGGGTTCCCAAGTCACCAAGGGCAGTGTCCATTACTTCATGATGAATCAAACTTACCACATGGTTTTATGGCACAGTAATCAAATTGAGTGTTAGGATCCATAGTGTAGCACCAGGGCCCATGACTGTCATTGTCAGGGTTACGACAATAGTTCTGTTCAAGGCGCACATCAGGGAGCAAGGGAGAGATGTGCCTGAGAAAGTAAAAAAACTGTTGGTTCAGTGTTGTGTCATTTTCCCCCATTCCCCATAATTGTTGCTATACTGATATTTTTTCATAAAAGTTGTATACAGCTGTCAGTATGTTGAAATAGATGATTCAGACACTTGAAAGCACTTCCATTGGCAGATACTAATTTTTCCCTAAAATTCAAATGATCATCTTTGACTCCTGAGAGAATGCAATTCTCCTTCACCTAGGGATTTAATTATGCTCACTCTTACATAATTGTGTAATTCTGATAAACACCACATTTCCCCCCCCCAAAAAAGTGCTACATCTACCTGCTCTAGCTTTTCACTATTTATGTATAAGTTGTAATTGTTCACTGCACAGTCTCTGTCAAACTCAGCTACCTTGGTCTTTGATGTGATATGCCTTTGGTATTTCAGACAAATACTCCTTGTTGTGTCATAGTATCTATTTAATATTTGCTGCAGATCAGCCAGATTTTCAACCAACTAATAGCATTGTCTGCATGCAAAAGTACACAAAAATGCTCATCTCCAACCAACATGCACACATCCATTTCCCCAACCAATGCCCTTCACCTCAAGCGTTCCTTAAGCACTTATCCATTATTACATTTAATAACCAAGGGGACATCACACATACTTGTTTTACTTCCTGCTTGATGGTGAATCATTCACTAAGAATTGCATTTATTCACACATGTGCTCTCCTCCCATCATATACAGCTCTTATCACATACAGTAACCAATGTTCAACTCTATAGTCGTGTAAAATATTCCATAATTCAAGGCTATTCAATTTATCATATGCTTTCTTTAAACAAACACACTTGCAACAGCAAACTTTCCTTCTTATATTCATACACTTCACCTCCTGAAAGCAAAAATCTGGTCTGCACACCTCCTGCTCAGCATAAAGTTGCACCACACTTGCCAAATATTGCTCATTGTTACCATTTATGCCCTTTTGATCAGAACTCTGCCAAGCTCTTCCTCTGCAGTTTTTGCATTTATTCTTGCTACCTTTCCCTCTGATTGGGGGAACAACAACAGCCTTTTTCCAATTGTCGGACAGATGCAACCTTCCCACATTAAGCAAGTTGTTCAGCCACTCCACAAGCAAAACACATCTGTATGTTAAGATGTCTCCAACTGTCTGTCTCCACCAGCAGCTTTATCATTTTTCAGCATTTTCACAGCGTTATAATTCTTATACAAAGCTCTAAAATGCTCCTTCCTGTGCAGCACTTCAGAACTGAAGCAGGAAGGAGCTTTGGAAGGTGTGTGGGCACACACATCACAATGGTTGGAACCTCTTTGAAGTAGCTGTGTCTTTTCCTGGACTCACACAAAACACATGCAATCTCGGGACAATAAGCACTGGAGATAAGGAGGCTTCAACAGCAGCCCCACTCCAAAGTACCCTGTGGCTTCCCATTGGCACTTTCTCACCTTAACACATACGGGAACAACTTAGCATAGAAAAATTAAAATCGATGTCCTACAATCATAACCCAATGAATCATCTCCAACAATCACAAGGGCAAAAAGGCAGGAAAAATATAAGAATAGAAAATGGCACAGTGGTGAATTCAACTGGAACATTTTCCAAAAGAGCTCAGTTTTTAATATCTGTCTAAAACGCATCAGGTCCAGATCATAAATACAAGCGGCATTGCAGTTCTAAAAAGGGAAGCGGGAGGGGTGATCTGACGCTCTTCTTGTTTTAGACTGGCTGAAAAACTGCATTGTTATTCTTTTACACTTGAAAGCAAAACTAAGACATTCATCTATCTCTGTTAATGTTTTTTTTAATGCACCAGGAAGTTTTTGTGTATCTGAAGCAAACAGTACCTTTTCTAAACAGGTACTCACCAATCACCACTTTCATTTATTCTTGGGTCTTTAAATGACCCAATCACCTTTTCAGGTCTCTGTTGTCTCTTTCTTACTCATCCATTCATGTCACCCAACAGAATAACTACACATTTTTCCCTAAAACTCATTTCTGGTTCTTTTATCAAAAACATTTGGGTCTTTTGGCTATAATAAACACCAATGCTGATGCTGCTGATATTTATAAAAACCAAAAACATAAACAAACAAAATGTTCTTTTCTATTAGCTATGTTTTGTCTTCCTAAAAAACCTGTGTACCCTCATTAAGCAGTAACTACCATTAGCTACCATTTCACCTTCCACCTTCCACTTTCCATTTAGAACTAAACTGAGCCTAAAAACTCAATCTCAAACTGACTGAACAGCAAAATTCATGGCATGAAAGGTGTACTCTTTTCTGGACTTTTCCCCCAGTTTTTTTTCTAATATCTTGCCTTACAAAGAGCTGTGGAGAATCTGAATCTTGCTTCTTTAGCACCATTTTGGTTGGTCCCAATACCACCATTACCCAACTCTAGATTTTGGGTTTGTTCTGTCTTTCAGTTTGTTCTATCTAGAGTCACTGAAGTTGGGTGGCCAATAAATGTAAATAAATAAATAAAATCTTGCTGCTCCTTAAGACAACTTTCTCCATCAGGTAACCTCTAGAACCCCCAGTTCCCAACCCGTAGAGAACCCTAAACAAAAAAAGGCTACCTTGGGCTCTAGATGTTCTTTCTTTATTTGGGTGGATATCCAGCAACTTTTGGAGTGAAGGGCTGCAATGGGCTAGGAACACAGGGCTTTTCTTTACTTTCATGGCCTTGCCCACCTGCTTCAGGATTTTGGTGGTTCACCCAACCCCAACAGAAAGTGGTATCTGTTTCCCAAAACAGCCCTGCAATAGGGAAGTACTCTTCTACAACTCTTTTTCAGAGGGAGAAGCAGTAAGCTTTATGAGCTCATCAAATTGCCATCCTTCCAGAACTTAAGAAGGGAAACGGCACTATAGCAAGAGGCCAGCCACCACTTTTCTCCCTGTTTTACTTCCAATGAGAGATTTTTTTTCCCTTACAGCTGTAAAGATGATTTTTGTCAGGCTCATTTTTCTGTATTTTCATCACTCATTGAAGTGATCCCACTCCATATTATTATTAACATTTAAAAAAAAAAACTTGGCATGGTTCCTAATAACACATTTCAGATCCTGTCAATCTCGCCCTCAGAGAATAATGGATTTGCTGGGTGAGTACAGACCATGAGAAGTGACATGCTTTCTCTCAGAATCAGGGCTGATGATAGCTGCAGTCTGAGAGGACTGAGCATTTTTCATGAAATCTAGGTGCTAGCAAGGGTTACTCCTCTATCCTCCCTGCCATGACTAAGGCTTAAAGAGGGAAGTAGAAACAGCATACCAAGAGACTGCCCACCATTCATAGACTTACTGGAGTGTGTGAAGGGATTGCTCCTTCCATTTCCGGCAGGTAATTCCTTTCCGGGTCTTACTAATAGTGCCTTGGTAGTCTTCTCCATTTCCATGGTAACAGTCTGTAGGAACAAAGGGCTCACCTGAGTGCACTTGCATGTCCTTGTACACATAAAGATGCTTTGAGCTCCAAACATTATGCTTCCCAGCTACCAAGCAACTGCTCTCCTGGAAGATCTGGAGGGCACCAGATTGCCAATCTCTGTTCAATAACTAATAAGAACCTCCAGCCTTTGAGAACCCAAGACTTGCTGGAAGGGGTAATCTTGAGGGGGAAAACATTGCAGTGAGAACGAAGCATCCTCAATGATTAAAAAAAGTTGGATTAGAGATGGACTGGAAGGGGGAACAGAAAATCAGGAGCTGGGATGGAAAATCAGGAGCTGGGATAGAAAAGTAGGAGCACTGCTCTGCAGAGTTTTGCTATAGATCCCCCTTCAATCCACCTCATCTCTGACACAGTGAATCATGGAATCTTTATAGTCACTCAAATGTCATTGCAGAACTTCTGCTTCATTTCTAATGTAGTGAGAACAAACAATGGTACTTCAAACATTAGGAATAATGCAGCCCAAACTCCCGTGGGAAGAGTCACTGGGAAAAGCATCTCACTGGATCCCAGCCACAGGGCCACCATTCTTACCTTCCGCCTCCACATCCTCAGCACAGCGCTTGATCTGGAAACAGAAAGCTCTGGGTAGGTGGGGCATGATGGTGAAGCACCAGGGAGCCTCTGAGCCATCAGGGTTCCGACAGTAATTCTCCCTCAGGTCCCTAGAAGGTACAAGCAAGGCAGAACACGGGCACCCTCACCAGCCCAGTCCTGAAGAAGCACCCAAATGCTTCTGGCTGGCCTCCAACATAGATTCTGTTGCAGCTTCCAAGATCCTTCAGGGTTAGCTGGTCCATGGCTATAACATAGCCTGTAGTCATAAGATTTTTTAGACTTTTATCAGACCTGTCGTTAGTGAAGTCCTGTTATCCAAGTTAGTTTATCATGTAAGCTTTCAGTCTGTTTCTGAGCTTCATCAATAGTGATTATTTTAACTATGAAATCTCTAAATGGTTTGGAACTGGGGAATCCAAGAGACTGCCTTTTCTAGGTAAAACAGTCAATGCTTTGCTATTGTCACCAGAGGCCTGGTTTGGAATATATCTGTCCTCAGAGAGAAAATCAGTGACATCTGGCATCAGGGGTTTCTCCATAGCTGGACAATCTCTTTGGTCTAGCTATCCTGTCTATCCTCATGCCTTGCTCTATGTCTTAAGAGTGAGGCCTTGAGGAAACCTGCCAGCCACTTTCCAAGCTTCCAGAGAAAAGAAGAGAGCTTCCATTTCAGTTTCCTTGCTGGGTGGTGACTTGCTAAGGGGGCAGCAGCAAAGCCAGAGGAGAAAACCATTTAGCTTGCTGATGAGCACCGCCGTACTCACAAATTAGAACACCACCATCCAACGGTGAATTGGAACAGATGTGGCAGAGGCAGGATTGGGGCTGACAATGGGGGTCTGTGATGGAATGTATCTACGAAGCGGAGGGTGATGCGAGAGATCAAGGCTATCAGGAAGGAGGGGGTGCATTCCAGGGAGGAAAAAGAGACAAAAGACAACACAGACCGCAGGGGGAGCGTGGGAAGCGAAAGAGGTTCAGGATAGCCACTCCCTAGAATCTCCCAGGGTATATTCACTTGTGGCAGTAGCATAGATTGAGTCTGGCAAGATTCTGTCTATAAGGTGTAAGCAAATAAAGGAACTT